ATGTTGCACATCCTCTGAGACCGACTGTTCAGGCAGACTGAATAGGATATTCCCTGTAGAGGTGTCACGACGGCATTGAACACATTGAAGTGGATCCCATGGATAAGTTTGCAGTTGTCGTGGTGGAACTACATGGGGCCTGAAAAGCCCAAACTGTGGCGAGGATTTCTCGTTGTCCTCCCGCATTGGATTCTGAATATGACTAACGGAAGATCGGGCAGGTCTCCAGAGTCGCGCGCGCAGCGGGCGCAGCTGCCGCAGCAGCCTTCGTGGTTGGAAGTAGGCTGGGTGCCTCTGTCTGCTGGTGCTGCAGCAATACATCTCTCTTATCTGCAGGGCCGTGCAGCGACGCAACCTGCAGGCAAGTCGTGAGCTCTGAGGCATGCTGAAGGCTCAACCATTTGTGGTGACCCTCGGAGGTCATTGCAAGAAAGGGTCAACGGCTCAGTGAGGAGACGTTGTTCAAGGTCTTTGTAACTTGGCTCTGCAGGTCAGAGTGACGTGTCGATGATCGACTTTCGTGTTGGGGAGATCAAGAGGCCGGTGGAGCCATGATGCATGTTGTTCATGTGTCTTTGATTGTCTCTGCAGCCGCAGAGCAAAAACTGTCGCCGTTGCCAGTTGCGAGAAGCATCCAGACTCCGACAAGCTATTGGTGGAACAGATTGACGTGGGAGAAGAGGTCATCTTGACAAGAACTTGCAAGCCCGGAGCAGCTGCCTGTTGCAGGCTCCGAGACAGATTTGCTCAGGAATTGGAAAGTCGACTTCTAAGCAACTCTGTACCTGTGCAAACGGGAGGGGGAATCTAATGCCTTGAGGTTTTTTGAGCCGGACCAAATCATCGGCAAAAGGGTGGTGATTGTGTCCTTTCCCCGGTCACTCGCTCAACACTGAGCATTCTGTGCCCTGTTCCCAAGCAAGGTCCAACCTGAAAGCTCGCAAGATGGCAGGAACCGCCTGTTGACCCAGTGGTCCTTTCAATAGGTCAAGGTACTTCAGCCGGATGCGTCATGCCCCTGAGGCCTCCGAGGGCATGCTACTTTGCGTCGGGCTTGCACATGCTGATTCATGATGTGGTGTCTTTCTTTCTAAGATTTCTGGCCAGGCTTCCAAAAGGGCAGATCCCGAAGACGCTGAGTCGGAGCTTGCTGAGCTCAAGCTGGTGGAGGTGTAGCCCTGCGAGGAACAGAAGACCTTGTGCGTCTACACAAATCGCCAGGCTCCAGCAGATGCCCAGATTGGCGAACGCATCGTGGATGGGGACCCAGTCTCTGTTTGGTTGGCATCTCAAGTGTACACCCATCACATGCCAGGTGGACATGCCTGACGAAGAGCATGGCCAGGCAGCCACGCCCAACAAGGTGGGCCCCTTTAAGATGAACGTGCAAGCAACATGCGACAAGTTATCGCTCGTCGGTAATCTGCAGCTTAGGCGGCTCTAGATATCTCCTCATACTTACATTGCATTCCTTGCAATGAGTGCAGCATGGGAAGCAGAAGACGCGGTTGAAACCATTGGTCCCAGAAGAGCTTAAGCGCGTCGCGCTTTGAATGAGCACCCAGCACAAATCTCAACCTGGAAGTATGAAAACGTCCGAAGGGCACTTGCGTGGAGTTGGCGGGACACTCAACATGTCATTGGCTCTCCGTGGGAATGCGAGCATCAGCAGGACCATGTCTCCCTGCGCTTCTTTCCGCCAGACATGACAGCATCCGCACATCCACCTCTGCGATTGATCACACGCATCCGCACTGTGGTTGTGGATGTGGTCCTTAAATGGTGAGTACATTGAACAGCATGATGCGCGTAATTTGGCAAGCCTGGCTTGCGCTGCAGTGGAGCTGAGGTTGGCAAGAAGAAGCTGTATGAAAAGGCACTTTTCTTCCAATCATCAGCTGGGATGCGCCCACCGTGCCGCCAGGTTGCTCCAGACCTCCGAACAAATCAAGATGGCATGGTCGAGCGCTTTCACTTCTGCAAGCAGATCTGAAATGATAGTCTTTCTCTCCCTCTTTCTCTGTCTTTTCTCTCTCCCTCTCTCTCTCTCTCTCTCTCTCTTTCTCTCTGTGCTTTGTTCTGCCAGGTGTGTTTCAAAGAATCCCCCTTCATGACTAGCGCGGGCCCATGTACTGCCAAGGCCACATGAGGGACTGTGACTATGGTAAAATTTGTGCAGTGCTTCACGGGGCTGAATTTTGTGCCAGGACCTCCCTGAGGCAGTGGTGTCCTGAACCTTTGAGCTGTGAGCCAAAATTGGCGTATACTCAGATAATAGCATCATTGCTGAGTCACTTTTCATTAAACGCAGCAAGTCGAAATCAACAAGTATCTGTCACGTTCTCCACAAGTTAAGGGTTTTGACAAAACAATTTTTCCCTGCTACTGGGTGCTTCCAAATTGTGCTGGCGCCTTCAGGCCAAAAAAGTGCAATTGCAGAGACACGCTGTTGGGTCTGCCTTGCCACGCTCATGTTCTCGGCTGTTCCTGCTGATGTCCTGCAGCCTTCTTCCCGTAGCGGAGGGGGCTCATCTTGGCTGGCACACGGCTGCCAAATCCCGCTTCCGATACTGAAGCAGCTTGCCTGATTCCAGACTGGGCTCTCTGAAGTTGAAGCATTGGCGGCTGATAAGTTCACGGAAGACAAAGGCTTAAGTGTTGAAAAGCACTCCATGTCATTTACCCTGAGCCCCCGAGCTGGTGGAAGTCTCCCACCTTCAGTTCTTGGAGTGTAGTCTTTGACTGAGGAAGACTCTGATCAGATGCTCATGCCTGAGTGTCTTTCCAATTAGCATCAGTCACTTGACTTGCTGATCTGCTGCCAAGATCGAACATGATGTGGTCCTACATTCCTTCCTCTTCGACCAGTGCCCAGAAGCCAACCCGGATGACGCTGTTATTGGTAATGTCCGTTGTTGCCTCGGGCCACCTTTTCGGCAGTCCCAATGCTCGACACATGTATGTTTGCTAGGTCGTCCTTGCGGCAGTCCTCCTGCATGTACAACACGTGGGCCTGTCCAGCAAGCTTTTGCTAGGTGTTGCGGCTCTGAAGGAGTGAAGGCACATGTAGACAGTAGACACTGCCGCTACTTGCTATGCGTGGCAGGCTGTTTGGACCAAGAGGTCTCAAATTCGCCGGATTTGCTGAAGTCGTTTTTGCCTCAGCCTCCTCAGGATTCCAGTGTGAGCTATTCATCTCTTCGAGACGGGTTCGCAAGCGCACTAGCAGGGTTCGTGGAAGATCGTGGAAGGAGCTTCCGCAATCTTTAAGACGGCATACGAAGCTTCTCACAGAACCCATGGTCTCTCGACTTGGTTTGGTAGCAGACTTGTCTAGCGGTGTAGCGCTCATTGCACGGCAAGAGAGACCTCCTTATGGCCTTTCCAAAGAATGGTTAGCTCTCCTGGTCGCTACATTGCGGATAAAGTAGCTCTATGTCAATAATAATCCGACCACATCCAGAAGCCTTGTTCAGGTGGAGACGCTTTGTAGCGCCTGCAGCAGCCTTGGAGACCTGCTTCTTGTTCTTTAACAACTGTGAGGAGTGACCGCTACGTGAGGGGGTTAAGTCGAAGTACCTTTCAAGAAGTAGGGTACACCTGCTTAAAAAGACGGTCCTACAGATTGGCGAGCCTAGGCTAGGTGTGTTTGAAATGCCCTTTCTGAGCATTGCAGATTGGTTGTCTCATGCCACTGCCGTTACCAGATCTTCAGCCAGTCGCGCTACCGCGAAAACAGTGCGCGCATACCGTGAGCGATGCCTCTGTGCTTGGTTTCGTGGAGCAACCGTACAGAGGCTCCGGAGCTTTAGTTGCGATGGACACGCTGCGCCTTACTCCCTCTTCAAGCTTCGCGGCTCCATCTCCTTTGGCTCGATTCTCCTGTTCGGCTTCGCCTGTGGCCCAGCTTGACGGCGTGGGAAAAACTTTGAGTGAACTTGGAGTCTTGTATCACCGACAAGGCTGATGCCAGGGCATGCTGAGCCCTTTGACGGCTCCTGGCAGGCGACCGCGAGCATGTCCGATGACAAGGGCGGCGATGGGGCCTTGAGTCGTGTTCCGGCCTGGGACTGTTCTCCGATGACGTGGCGGGCCTTCAAGAGAGAGCTGGCCTGTTGGACTTCTTCGTTGGACTTCGAGTCCTCGGGGGCACTAAAAAGTACAACCTTGCTGCCGGGTGGTTGCTGAGGCAGACAGGCACCGTGCGCCAAGAGGAGCGGGGAGTTCAGCCGAGCTGAGTTGTCTTGTCAGAAAGAGGTTTTTGATTCTGGTGGTATATCTGTGTGTTTGGCTTGCAGACGCAACGGAAGGCTGATGCTGCAGGTATACCGCCTGTGCCTGCCTGCAGCCATCAGCCTCAAGTTCTTGTCAGCTTGCAGTGTTTTTGACTTAGGACCTCCTGCCTCTGCTTGTTAATGCTGCCTGTTCGGGAACTTGACGCCATGGCTTCTGCCCCTCTCTCACCGACAAGTGGGGGTATGGGAATTTTGTCTGACCCTGACTGTGCTTTTCTGCCAAGTGGTGGATCCTTGCCCGCTACGCCTGGGCCTTAACTTATGTGCCTGCTCTGTCTGGCTGCTGTGGGCTTCTGCCAGGTCGGAGCCTTCTAGCCCTGCCTCCGGCTTTGTCCTGCTGTCTGCAGGTCTCCTGCTGGTTTGGGCCCTGGGTCTGTGCCTAAGTGGTTCTGGCTTTCTGCCTGACTCTGAGGATGTGTTTCCAGGGAGCTCGTTTGCTCCTGCCCTTTACGCGCCCTGGTCTATGCCCTCTGAGGCCTGACCTGGTAGCTTCCTCGCCACCGTGTGGGAGGACTGTTCTGCCTGCCTTCGTGCGCTTCTGTCTGGCTTGGCGTGACTTGAGCTTGACTCTGTGTGCTGCAGCGCCCTCATGCTTTCAGCATCCCAATGCAAAATGCCTCCCGCCTCTGCCAGGAGCAGACCAAAGTGCGTCACTCCAGCGCAGCGAGAAGCCCAAATGAGGCAGAGGATTGCACCATCCTGAATAACAAACATAGGCGAGTCAGAGCTGCAGACCTCACGCTCAAGCCAAGCAACAAATGATATGCTAAGAGGCAGTGACTCACGGCGGGGCACAGGCGCAGTGGGAGTCAGAAAGGCTTTGCAGACTGCTGATTGGACAGTCGCAGCCAGCCCCGGGAGGCCAGCCAGGCGAGACATAAAGGATGGCGTAACTGCAAGACCAGGACCGGCGAAAGACAGAAGCCACCCACGCAGCAGGCGAGTTCACGGGGCCGCAGAGCGAGTCTCACAATAGGCCGACCAGGACTCCCAGGCAGACAGGTAGGCTGACAGAGTAGAGGGCCCGCGCCTGGCGACGGCCGTTGCTGCAGCTGCGCGGAACTTGAGAGGCAAAGCGCAACCTGAGCACAGAAAGTGCCGAGCGGGCAGAGGCAGCCATAGAGACAGGGTCAGATGTGCTGGAAGGAGCTGTGACAACAACACTGCCAAACGTGCTCGAAGCAGTCCAGGTAGGCGAAGGGAAAGCTGGCGTGGCAGGCGTGGACGCCGCAAGTGTAGCGCGCGATGCCGAAATGGCCACTGCGGTGGGGCCCAGCGGGCAACAAGCGCGACCGCTTAGACGGAACAGCCAGGCCCAAAGATTGGCCGCCAAAAGAATGAGCAGTTGGGGCGAAGGCCACAACAGAGCCACCGGTGCAAAGTGTCCAGGAGCCAGGGTCAGTAACCTCAGATGTACCTGCAGGAGAGGCGAAGTCATCAGAGTCCTGCCAGAGAGACACAGTTGAGGGACACAGTTGGACCACAGAAAAGGGCGGCCCTTGACAAAGTGGCCCTTCGATTCTCCTCGAAGGCCCAGGGATCGTTTAGGCGGAAGGGCCGCGTCACCAAGCCGATGAGCCTTATGAGAGGGACCGTGCAGAGGGCGTGCTTGTCAATGCCCTCACTGGCTGTGCTGCCCGCGCCAAAACCACAACTGCTGGCATGCCGTGCCTTCCCCCGGTCATATCAGAGCCCTTCTTGCGCGCAAAAGGTATTTCCTGGCCTGCTTGCCGCTGCTGGCGCTCGCGCTCATCTGCCCAGCTCAACTTCTGCCCAGAACTGCAACGCATCCAGGGCCACCGCCGTGGGTCTGCTTCTGACTTCTCTGTCCGCCTATACGGACGGGATGATGTGGCGCCTGCAGAGGCTGCCGCCTCATGCAACCTCTTGCATTAGGGGTCTCTCCTGACTTCACTGCCTCTGCCTGTTCCTGGAGGATCTGGGCCCAGAGCCCTTCCTGGCTCCCCGCCGCTTTTTTTCACTGACTCCTCTGACGAGGAAGCTTCTGTGGTCTTCTGCCCCTGCAGCACCGGCGCTGCCCCTGCCTTGCAGACGCCCTTTCTCTGCCGCTACCAAGTTTCCGCCGGACAAGCTGGGGAATTAGAATTCCTGACTGATTCCAACCGCCACGCCTTCAGGCAAGTTCCAGTTGCGGGACGCACTGGACGCCAAGCTCTTGGTCTGGATTCCCTGACATCCTGGATTTTTCTGAGTCCCGCAGACCGCGTACTGACCGGCAGTTCCTGCGCGCACTTGTTGATGGGGATGCGGACCCGCCTGGCCCTGCTGTCTCTGTCAATCTATCCGACCCTGTCGAGCCAACACTTCGCCGTTATGTGGGGCTTCTGGCTACTGCTTTGGCCATGAAGGCTCTTGGCTCAGGCAAAATGCAAGGGGCAGGGGAACAGAATGTTCTTTGCCTATTTGAGACTGTTTGTGGCAAACTGCTGTATTTCTGAAGAAGACATGCTTCCCCGTGGATCGACAAATGCAACAGCTGAGTCATCCGGGTCCCAAATCCCGGAGCATGCTACGATGTACAGTATTGGTAACGCACCAAGACAGCATGCAGAGCCGAGGGTTGGCTGGCGTACCATGGGCAGGCCGGGAGCTCTTAGAGCGAAAACACATGGAAGTTTAGACACCCGCTTGGCGGGACATCGGAACCTTGCTATGTACACCCCGACCCAGAAGAGGG